AAAATACATGTAAAATTAATATACAATTATTTTAACTCTTTTTGAGTATATTTTTAATTATCATAATTTTATTGACTGTAGTTTCTACTGTTGGGTGGATAATTCATAATTTGTAAGAATAATTATTTAATTATTTTAATTGTAATATTTTAAAAAAATAATATTAATTACATACATAGATAGAAAAAAAAGTATGTTGCTGCGCGCGGGTCGACAATATCGACACATATTCGGCTAGGTAGTCGTATTTTTGGAGCGGCGATACGGGAAATGTTATTTAAGTCAACATTAGATTACAGTACATTAAATTAGAGGCAATTATTATACCTAACCTAACCTAACCTATAAATTGAAAAATTAAACATAATAGATAAAATAATTGCAAAATTATAATAAAATCAATTGATTAAAAAATTAAAAATTAAAAACTAAAAAATTTTAAATTAATAATTTTCAAGTTTCTGATTTTTTCCTTTGTATTTACCTAACTACCTATCTGTATGCCAAATTTGAACTTTCTAGGTCATCTGGAACTGGGTTAGAATTTTGATCTATAGGTAAGTCAGTGATAAAAATGACGATTTTCGGACGTTAATATCTAAATAACGGTTTTAAGTGTGTTTATGAAATTTAGAGCACATATGTATCTCGTTAGTCTCAATATATGAGCCAAATTTGACATGTTTATGTGGAATAGTTTTTGAGTTATGAGGGGGTCAAAAGTGGCTCCAAATGGTTCGTGTAATATTACACACGGTGCTGCTCGCCAGTTCTGTTAGCTAGAACTTGGCTTGACACGCTACCGCGTGTCTAGATATGTTTCCTACAATTAATGTTTCTTGGTCTGGACCGGGCTTTAGAGATAACGACAAAACTATAAAAGTGAAATCCACTGTTTAACATTTATTTTGGTAATACAGTTATATAACTTTTTTTTAGTAATTTGTGTTTTGTAAAACAATAGTATATAAATACAGCACATGGGCGGGGATCAATCCCCCCCCCCCGGAACTACGCCCCTGCACACACCATATCCGTACAGAATCAACATGATATAATATATTATATAGTATTATAGTGTATATATATATATATATATATTTATTATTTATCATTGAATTCAAATTTAACACATACATTACTATGACCCACTCGACACCTACTCTATACAGCAGAGCGGTAGGTACCCATTATTTGCCCACCTTTTGAAATGTAGGTACATTTGTAATTTATTCTATTTTTATGTTTACTGATACATATTGGGTTATAAAAAATTAAGAGTACAACAGTTTTCAATCGGGTTGAGTGAAAAAAAGTAAGTTTAAACAGTTAATGTATCATAATATTTTGTAAGAGTGAATTTAAATAAATACAACTAGGTAATAACCTACTGCTTTTCTTTAAAATTGATCTAAATAAATTGAAAGTAAAGTAAGATTAAAATTAATTTAATTTGATATCTACAAGTTAGTAGTTACAACTATACAGCAGACCGAGTTTTTTTATTTTTATCATATTATGTCACCTGTGTGTGGTGGTCCATACAAATAATATACGTTCGAATGGCAGTCATGTAGAATAACGTATTAATGCGTCAGTTGTCTAAAATTGTTTGTAAATAAACTACATACACGTAATATTCACTTACACACATAATCAAAAATTATATTATTAAAGTTGCGCACATTAACTCTTACCATCGTCTCTTATACTAAAAATAAATTATTTTGTATTGTCACACTGCCTATAAGAAGGTCAACGGTGGAGGTAAGAGGGAATCGAAATTCATTGACAGTCTGCAATCTATTTCTGTAATGATTCAATCGTCATGAAATATATTTACCCGATTTGTCCAAAAATTATTTTGTATTATGTTACTATATTTTGTACTTACCTATGCTGTAGACGTTTAACATCGTTTTTAGAACATTAAAAATATAAATTACCTAAAATGTATCAGTTTTCTACCAAGTAACGGTTGTAGTTGTTATATTATTATAAGACTAGCTCTAAGTGTAACTCGGGGCCCGTTGGACTCGCTGGGAGTGGGTACCGCTTTTGGAGACAATGAATTAAGGTTATAGGTTATAGGTTATAAGGTTGTAAGAAGAAAGTTTAGGATTAGTGATATGGATTGGAGATAAGGCTAGGCGCTTTGGCGGGAATGTTAAAAGTTTGAGCGTCTAGCAATCTGTCACAAACGTTGTAAATGGATAGGCTGGATACGATCTCCAGGATCACCTATATAGAGTATACCTGCACAGTGCACATAGAGTGGTATGTGCCGTAGCATGACCGGTGCTTTATCTTATGTAAAAAGTGTTAAGTCGAAAACCGTTTTGGAGTTTCTATAGCAAGTCAGTCATCTCAAATCAAAATCTATTAACTTTCAAGTTAGCCACCTAGGTAGGCAATCCGAAATAAAAAACAAACTTTATTCATATAACAATCATGGATTTATAATAATTCCTAATAAAACAAATATAACATGTACCTATTTATTGTGTGATATAATATGACAATGACTTTAAGTAATAATAATGTACGATATGTTCCTGTATAGTGTATATTATAATTATTTAATTTATATGAAAAATAAAGAAAATATATGAAAAAAAAAAAATAGCCCTTGTAAGTGAGTACCCATTTCGGAGACAGTCGAATTATTAAAGTCGCACTTATGTCTTATAATTAAGGTGATAGTTTGGTAATCGGAGGTGATTTGGTGATAGGAATTTGTGATAAGGCCTGGCTGTTTGGCGGTCTCGTTTTGAAGGCGGGAAAGTTTAAAAGTAGAGTTTTAGTGTCTAGAAATCTCCCATGGTCCATGAATGTCGGCAATACAATGATACGATTCCCCAACGAATGTCCGGTGCTTTTTCGTATGTGTGAATGTAAAAAATGTAAAGCCGAAAACCGTGTTGGAGTGTCTAGCAAGTTAGTAACCTGAATTCTGAAGTGAAAATCGATTAACTTCGAAGTTGTCCACCTATGTGTGCTACAGAAAATCAGGTGGGCAGGTATTACAGACATTAAACGGCTATAGCCTATAAGTGAACTCCGACTACCATCTACCTATATGAATGATGAACAATCCGACTTTGTCGTAGTTCTACAACTAACTGTGGTCGTAGTAGAATGTTAATGATGTAGTCGAGTATGTGATAACGACAAATGGCCTATCCATTCTTTAATATCTATGGATGACTGATAATGATTAGTGATAGCACTTGGTGGTTTGGCGGGAATGTTTAAATTTTTGAACTTTCTGTGTCAGTGCTGTTTTCCGTTGCATGTCCGGTGCCTTTTTTGTTTTTGGAGCAAAATGTCAAGTTTAAAATCGTGTTGGAGTGTCTAGCAAGTGGATGCCTCATGTAATATTCGATGTACGTTCATCGAAGTCGTCTAGGTAGGTACTCCGAGGTCGTCGATCGCGTACAATTTTCAACGGTATATCAGGTATGTATTGCAGGTAGGTACTTTAGTTTAAATGTTACAGCCATCGACCATCGTCAACAAATATAATATGGATCGTATACGATTATACCTTGCGTATACGTTAAAAAATTAGTATGTCGATTCGTGTATTCATAGGTATGATTTTGTTCACATAATAATTTCTGAAGGGAAAAATTATGTCAGCGTAAAAACGTATAATTCGGTCGAACGGTGTGTAATGACCAATAATGATGATATCTAAGGCGCGTGTATCGTGACGGTCTCTGTTTGTCTACCTGTAGTCACTATCGATCTCTCTGACACGAAGCTTTCGGATTATCGGGTAATTGTCGATACGACCGATGTCGCATCTAATTTAATGGAGTGATGGGAAATCCATTTTTTGCGGACAGGCTGTATGATCGGTGACGAACGTCGGACATATTTCATTTGACATATGGACGCCGTTCGAGTAAGTAAACGTATTTAAGGGTATTCGATACCGTGATTTTCTGTTTTTGTCTAACACACACGCGACATAGTATTTTAGATGTGTTTTTTGCCAAACATACCAATTGATCTAATGAAGCGATAAGAATTCTGAAAACAGATTTCAATTTGTCGTCAAGTCTACTTGAAATCGACTTTCCCATATTTTTGATATTATCCCACAAATTTTTTAAAATGTCATATTCAAAAAGAGTATTTAAAAATTCTGTTATTTCAATTTTTGGGGAAGTTTAAATCAAAAAATCAAAAATGTGAGAAGTCGATTTCAAGTAGACTTGACAACAAATTCAAATCTGTTTTCAGAAATCTTATCGCTTCAATAGATCAATTGGAATGTTTGGCAAAAAACACGTCTAGAATACTATGTCACGCGTGTGTTAGACAAAAACAGAAAATCACGGTATCGAATCCCCTTAATTGCTTATTATAGGTACCTTCTTATACTGGCCTTGTGTCCCGGTTTTTTTTTTCATGTTAGTTTAACTTGCTTGAGTAAAATGATTTATGCTCAAACACTTTTTAATACTTACAGCACATATTTAATTGTATCCAGGGCCGTATTAAGGGACACTGCATGGGGGAGCAAACATAAATATGAAATACGCCTTTTTTTTACAAATAAATAAGCAAAAAAATTTTTCTCGCTACGCTCAAACAATTTTACACTAACACTTGACTTACAAAAAAACTATATCCTTACTCTTCGTCATATACTCTTGCTACACATAGGTATACATTGTCTTTTACACAAATAAAATTTATACAAATGAATAAATTATTACATACACTACATGTCTACATAGTACATATCAAACTCATGTCTCATGGAATATTCTATTTCTGTACCTAGCTATAAATTTACATGATAAACAACTAAAAAATTAGGTACGAGTATACTATGTTTAAATATTATATAACAATAACATTATCCAAATAAATAACCAAATTCAAAACTTTTGTTATTTCTCGTATAAATAAATAATATAGATAGGAAATGAAAACACAAAAATAAATAATTTATGTCTTTTAATTATTATTATTATTATTTAGTTTTATTTAAAGTTTTTCTTACGTATTTTTACTGATAAAAATTTTTGAATTGTATCTGACCAGTCTATATTTCTGAGAATATCATTTTCAATACATAATAGTGTCAAGGAAGACGTTTTTTCTTGTGAAAGTGTTGATCGTAGGTAATTTTTAATTCTTCTGAGAACAGAGAATGATCTCTCACCACTTGCGTTGGAACATGGCATACATGCATATATCCTTAAGATAATTAAAACATTAGGAAAAGTTAATGCCAAAGGGGAATTAGATAATTTTGTGAATAAACCATTTATTGTTAAATCTTCTTTTGAAAATGAAATAGCAATTTTTTTAAATTGGACTATTTCTTCAATAAATGATGTGTCTATATCTTCGTTGTATATATTTACAATATGCAATTCCTTCCTTCGCAGTGTCAAAGAATCTAAATTAGTTAAATTACTTAAGAATCCAAAATTTGAATGGACATTTATATATGCTTTTTTTCTTTCACATAAATTCGAAGATAAAGTGTCAATTATAACATAAAAAGTATCATTCTTCATTTTATCCTCTCCATGATGTACAGTATCCACAGAATTTGAATCATCAAAATGTCTTTTCTTCTTTATAACTCTTGATTTTTCCCATGAAAATGTTAATTTTCCACAGAGTTCTTTAGATTTATTTAAAATGTCATCAAATAGTTTTCTATAATCTTGTACATATAATTCTAACGATTCATATAATGAAACAACAATAGATAAATTTATATCTTTTGACTGTAGCGTTTTGCTTGTAGCATCGAATCTCTGCAATATTGGGGTCCAAACATTCAACATGAAAACAAACTCTAATTTTTCCTATTTCTTCTTTATTGAGTTTGCTTCATTTCTAGTTGATGGTGTTTGAGTAATATCTTCTGATAATATTTTTAAAACTTTTAATATTTCTTTATATCCAGATAATATTCCTTTACAAGCTTCATGCCGCGAGGACCACATAGTAATACATACATTTTTTGGAACAGTTGTAGATTTTGATGGAGATTTGTCATTGATGTTTTTAAGAAGTTCCCATCTGTAGGTTGATGATGATAAAAATGTATAAACCATTTGAATAGTATAAAAAAAATTGTGTACCTTCCTTTGAAGATTCAGCAGCATTAGAGCCAATAAGATTGAGAGAGTGTGCAGCACATGGTACAAAAACCGCATTACTTGCATACTTTTTTATACGAGCTTGAAGTCCCTTATACACACCAGAAATGTTGGAGGCATTGTCATACGACTGTCCTCTGCAATTTTTTAAGTCAATGCCCAACTCATTGAATTTTTTTATTAATGTATATTCCATTTGTTCTCCTTTATGTCCTACTGATGGTAGAAATGCTAAAAATCTTTCTTTAGAATCACCAGTTGGAGTTATATAGCGTATGACCACTGTCAATTGATCTGTTTTACTTATGTCAGGAGTTGAATCAACAATTATTGAAAAATATTTAGATTCATTGATTTCACACACAATTTTATCAGCTACAGAATTATTCATAAGTTGAATAAATTCGTCATATATTATTGAAGATAGATATGACACATTACCTCTCCCTTTGTTTCCATATTTAGCAATATGTTCACATAAAAATGGATCAAACTGAGCAATTAGCTCCAAACATCCCATGTAACTACCATTATGCACAGAACCAAATTCACTATTATTACCTCGAAATGAAAGTCCTCGTTCAGCCAAGAACGTAATTGTTGATACGACACGACGAAGAACTTGGGTCCAGTATGATATTTTAGAATACATTTCTTCTTTTAAAACTTTATCAACTGAATTGTTTTTGGCCCCTTCTGTTCTTAAATACCAAATCCTCACAGATTCACAATGAAGTGGACTTTTTTCATGTTTTTGAACTTTGTCATAACATTTGGCCCAGTTTTTTAAACCATACTGTAAATTTCCTAATAAAGATTTTCCTTTGGAAAACAGAACACAATGAAAACAGAATAACGCATTTTTTGAGGAAGAATATAGTAACCAATCTCGAATTTGTGTTTGTCCATTATGTAACTTTCTTGAGAATATATCTCGAGGCAGTTGGCGCAAGTATTTTCTATAAATCCGACGAGTTTTATTAAAATCAATTTTACTTATATCCTGACGAGGTTGGTTTAAAATGAAGTGTTCAACTAACAATGAATTGATTGACCATTTTGCCGGATCAATAGTAGGACCACTCACACCTTGTATTTCCAAGCCAGTAGTATACTCCTAAAACAGATAATTAAAAAAATAAAGTGAAGAATTTTAATCAGCAATTTACAAGTATTAATATTCAGAATATTTGGATGTAATGATTAGTGTTATAATAATGATAACTATCAGATCATACAATTAGAATATACAATATAATAGAAATAAAAATACATACAATAAAAAATGTATCTTCTGAATGTATAAAAATAAGATGCATACAAAATATATTTAAAATAGTGAAAACCATTTTCACACATTTCATTATAACAGTATTTAATATTTTATATTTATTTACCTCAACATTACTCATTTTAGAACTACAGGATGCTTCATTAACTAGCTGAAGCTCATCATCAATTATAATATCTTTCATATTAATTTGATGTTCTGAGGATGGACTCATAATCTAAAATTTAAAGGTTAAATTTAAAATGATTACATTTTACATTTTTATAATTTATCTACCTCAACATTACTAATTTTAGAACTAAAGGATGCTTTATTAACTAGCTGAAGCTCATCATCAATTATATCTTTCATGTTTATTTGATATTTTGCGGATGGACTCATAACCTAGAATTTAAAAATTAAATTTTAAACAACTACATTTTATATTTTTTACAATCATTAATTATATTTAGAATAAAAATGAATAAAAATAATAAACATAGGTAGGTACCTTAATTGAATCATCACATTCTTTATTTTTATCATTTTCAACAGGGATAACTGTTTTATTTTCCACACATTGAAGTGGAACTGCTTTAGACTGTTCTACACTCTGTTGACACAGAATACTTAAAAATTAAATATCACTCGTATAAATTATAATATTATGTATAGTACATAATATGATCGGTTGAAATTGAAGTAGAGGAGAAATAAAATATGTAATAGGTATTAACCAAGGCTGGGCAAGCAGTTAACGATTTTTTTTAAACTTGTTAAGTTAAGTAAGTTATTTTAAAATAATAAAGTTAAGTTAAAAGTTCCTCAAATATTTTTTCGTTAACTCGTTAAGTTAAACGTCAACTTTGAAAAAGAAGTAACTTAGTTTAATTAAAAGTTAAAATTTTCTAATTTTCAAAATAGAAAATTTCAGACACATAATAATGTTTATTAGATAGTTTTTCTTTATACACAAGAAACTTACAGGTGAAATTTAAAATGATACATCAAAGTATTAACTAGCTATCATAAAACCTACTTTTCTAAAAATACTATTTAAAAATTTGCATTATTCTTTAGACTAAAATTAACTTAATTTAAATATTTTTGAATAAGATTGACTTATTAAGTTAAAAGTTAATTTCAAAAAAAGTAACGATTAAACTAATTTAACGTTTTAACTTAATTTTAACTTTTAATTCGTTAATGCCCAGCCTTAGTATTAACTATATATTACTTTAATAATTATTAAAAAGCGTTCCAATTATGAATTGAGACCAATATTATTGGCAGTGCTATATTTATATAATTAAACAATCAGTTACTTTGTAAAAATACAATTGAAACGATAGTTATAAAATGTAAACTTACCTTTAATTTAAAATAGTTATCTAATTTCTTGGTTTTTTTGTTTAGTTGTTCTTCTCTTTCTTTTTTGGCTTCAGATTTTTTTTTTATATTGGGAACCACTTAATCTTTTACGTTTTAAATTTATATTAGGCATTTTAAAAATATTATTATTAAACACAGATTTACAATCGCAATTTGCATCAGTACGTTAAAACTACACCGTCACACCGTCAACACGACTGACGTCTGTCAATACTATGAAATCATAGATTATAATTTATAACGATAAAAGTTTTAACAATATTAAATATAATAATCGAACAACTACAGTCTCAGTGCTTGGTATCATTATATGCGGGCAACGCGGCGGCTATAACATGTCAATAGAATAAATGTAGTGAATGGTGATAATATTAAAAATATACGTATTACGTACGTTCTGGGTATTACCCAAACAAAGTCCATAAACAGCGTTCTCTCCCAATAAGTACCCAATAGTTCTAATATTAGATTCCATTATGATTTTAGATATTCCGACAAGTGACGTCGTAAATTCGTATCTAAACATTCTAAACTAAAATAATTAATATTTATTCTACTACCTAAATATTTTATTTTTATTATAATACAAACGGCACTATATTATGACTTTTTTTGCCGCCCTTAAATATTTGGCCGCCACTGCCGCCTGGAGCAACTGCTCCTTTTACCCCCCCCCCCCTTGATGCGCCTCTGATTTTATCTCGATCAATATTTAAACACCCCTTTATACAATAATTTCGTTTAATTTTTTATGATGCCTGAATATGTGACTATCGGAACGTGTGCATTTGAATGAATGTAAATCGTATTCCTTAGTAAATTTTAGTTGACCAGATTAAATAGTGCGCTGTTCGTAATTGGTTTTTATAAATATTTTAGGAAATTATCTGTGCGTTATTATTTTATATTTTACATTACACATACACTTAGTTCGTTTAAAAATTAAAATGTCGTAAAAAATCGATCGAGAGGACACAGATTATCTTCTTATATTAGTTTTCAATTAATAATAATAATAGTTGAGTTCACCGTAAAACTAATATATAGCACACTATTGAAACCGTCGAACGAAAATTAAATATATCGCAAGTGTATAAAACGGAGACAACATAATATTATGCGGGTATCCTCTTAACTGGACCACAGCACGTCTGTAGAATATTATGTGTTTGAAAACTCAAGCTTTTGTTGAATTAACATTACCTAATATTCTATGATTACTGTATGTCGTGTGTTCCGATTTTCTTTTTAGCACAGACTACCAATGTTCAATAACCGTCTCGTAACTTTTTTATAACTATATATATATTTTTTCATTATATTATGTTTGATTTTTTTCATTATATTATATTTGATTTGCGTGGGTGAAATATGATTTTCTTTTACTGTTTTTCTTTTAATAGTGTGCTATCTGTTGTAATTTTCTAGTGAATTTAGGTACCTATTAAGTATTATCGAATTGTCATGTGGTAAGAAAATTATCTGTGCATCATTGCACCCTGAGAAAAATGTTTTATTATTAATGAAAAACGACTATAAATTTAATAGAAAACGGGTATGATTTAGAGCCTATGAAATTCACTCATTAAGTTATGAATATAGAATATTTTAAATTAATTAAATCGACTATACGTTAATTATATGATGTTTTATTTTGATACAATGATATGGCTTCCTTAAAATTATGACAAACAAGTACTATAATCTATTATATTCATCTTAAACTCAATAAAATTGTAGTCTAAAGTCTTAATTATAAGGTATAAATTTGTATTTACTCTTAAAAATAATTAACCAATATAGTTAATACTATGACACACAGTATCATTTTAATGGAATATTTTTCTTATATTTAATGGTGTTAGGTATATGATTAATAATAAAATGAAGCTTATAAATTATACTCAATACTATGATGTACTAGCATCATTTAAATGGAGTTGTTTTCCTTGTTATCATTGCCGTAATTTAATTATTTTAACTAACCTAACCATTATTTAAATTATATACAATAGGTACC